CCCATGGTAGAAGTCAACTTTCATTAAAGCATTATTTTTCACATAATGAATAATTTTTGCACTAACAGAAATCACTTAGTGAAATAGTAGGTAATGAATTTCTAATAAGTAGTAAGAATAATTTTTTCTTCTTTCCTCATGAAGCATATGATTGATTCATTCATTCATATATAAGGAATTAGGCCTCTGCCAAATCTGGTTAACTTAACCAAATTTTGATTTCCATTTCTGGCAATATGGCAGACTGAATGTGTGGAGAAACCATTTCTCATGTAAAACACTTAAATGCTGGATAACATTTAAAAACATCTTTTTAAAAGTATACTTGGATTTACCTATAAGGAAAATAATCAGAGGCCACAAATGAGTGATGGTGATTCTATAGAGATCTATGGAGCTGGCATTTGCCCTAAAGAAACCTACCTTTTCCTAGTCACCTAGTGTCTGGTTGTTGATATGTCATGCACGTTGAGAACAGGGGACACTTTTCAAGCAAGGCTTTAATAGGATGGGAATTTGATTAAAAACATTGATGACAAACTTATGCAATGAATGAAGATTTGATGACCCAGACTTGGTTTTACATACAATTAGAGGTAAAGGGATTCTACCAGAGAGAATTCCTAGTCCTCCACCTTCTGTCTTGCATACTTGGGGCTGGAATTCACCTAAGCCAAAAATGTGTTTTAGAATAAGACTCCCCTGTTTGTAATGGAAGCAATTCTTCTGTAGAGAAATTTTACTCAAACCTCAATTTTTGCAGAAAATGTTCCATGATCATTAGTTTATAATAAAAAATTACTAAACATATTGGAAAATCAATCTTAAAAAATGAACTTGAGAAATCAGACCCTTTAAGATTAAGTTACAAATTATCAGAATTTCTACATAACTATGGTTACAGAAAAGAGAATGGTCTCAGATATCAGACTCCAAATAATTAAATTTCTGAAAGTGAAAAACAGCAGATTAAAAACTCAGGGGATGAGATGGAAAGAAGATAGATGTAGTTGACGTGTAAGCATCAGTGATCTACAATATCTAAGGAAATTAGTGCAGAGGGGCAGAAGGAGAATGTGAAAGAGATGCTAACAGACATGGAAGATGAATCTTTTTACTGTTGAATTTTCAGAGTTCTGTGTATTTTCTAGATATTCGTCTTGTTGAATCTGTGTTTTGCAAACATTTTCTTACATTCTGTAACTTTTTTCATTCCCTTAAGAAGGTCTTTACAGAGCAAAAGTTTTTAATGAAGTCCAGTTTATTAGTTTTTCCTTTTATGGATTGTACTTTTTTTTTTTTTTTTTGAGAGTCTCATTCTGTTGCACAGGTTGGAGTGCAGTGCTGCGATCTTGAACCTCTACCTGCTGGGTTCAAGCCATCCTCCCACATCAGCCTCCCAAGTAGTCACACAGGCATGTGCCACCATACTGGGTTAATTTTTCTATTTTTTAGTAGAGACAGGGTTTTACCATGTTGGCCAGGCTGGTCTTGAACTCCTGACCTTAAGTGGTCCACCTGCCTCAGCTTTCAAAAATGTTGGGATTACAGGTATGAGCCCCAGCTCAGTTTTGATGTACTTTTGATTGTACTTTTGATGTCAAGTCTAGGAATTCTTTGCCTAGCCCTTTATCTTGAGAATTTTCTCTTAAATATTTTTCTAGAAGGCTTGCATTTAATTTTACATTTTAATGTAATTATGAATTTATTAGGGCTTAAGTCTACATTTTATTTTACAGTTCAAAACTTTCCCTTTGTTTCCTTTTTTCATATCTTATAGTTCTTTGTCCTTGAACTTTTTCTTTTGCTGATACTTTATATTTTTTTTATTTTTTAAATTATGTTTTTGATTACTCATTGAAGCATTTGTTTTATAGCTACTTTAAAATGTGTCAGATAATTCTGAACATCTCTGTCATTTTGGTGTTTGCAAGTATTGATCATCTTTTTGCATTCCATTTGAGAGCTTGGTTTGACAAGTGATTTTTAAAATTGAAACCTGGATACTTTAAGTAGTATATTACAAAACTCTGGATCTCTAGATCTTATTTAAACCTTTAGTTTTAGCTGTCTTACTCTAAGGCTATTCTGGTAAGAGAAATCAGGGCTGCCACCTTATTACTGCCAGGTACAGGTAGAAATTAAATTTTCTACTCTGCATCCATTGACATCTGAAGAAGGATGTCCCTTGTGACTGCTGGGCAGAGATGAGAGTTCTGGGATCCCACTAGGCTTTTACTGATACTTTCTTGTATGAAAGGGATAGGGGTGATGGTGATACCCCTGACTCTTCACTAGGCCTCCTCTATACAAATCTAGGGCAGAAGAGGATTGGCTGCTTGTTACTACCTGGTGAGAACAGAAGTTCGTGTTACCCACGTGGTTTCCACCAGCATTGTAGGAGTTGAGACAGAGGCTTTATTATATCCTGGTAAGGGTAGACATTTTAGGTCCCCATTCAGTCTTTGCTGGCATTGGTGAGAGTTGGGCCACAGTTTTTTCGATGATTTTTAACTAGAGTGTTTATTTTCTAAGCGTTTTCTGCTTTGCGAGGCTCCTGCTTTCTTTGTCTTTTGGCTAACAAAAAGGCAGGATTTTGTTGGGGCTTTTTGTCTGCCCCCATTGGCATTTCTGGTTACTAGCTTCTTCAGTTCTAATAGTTTGAAACATATTAGGCAAAAATAAACTCAGAGAACTTACCACCATGTTGTTCCTCAGGTTTCCACCTTTCAGAGTCTTATGTTTATTTTCTGTAAAATGTCTAGTGATTTTAGTTGTACCTAGGAGAGAGAAAGAGTAAAAAGTACAGTGACTGCATCCCATTCAAGTTTGTGCCTCTTTTCTTTGTACCACTTTAGAATCAAACTCCTTGAAAGCATTCATCTGTACTTATTTTCTCCAGTTCCTCTCTTTTCATTCTATCCTAAACCTATTCCAGTAAGATGTCTATCCCTATCACTCCTTTGAAACAACTCTTGTAAAGGTGCCATTTCCAAGTGAATATTAAAAGGAGAAATACACATGTATTTTTGAACTACAAGATTTTTTATTTTAACCTTTAGGTTTGGGAGTACATATGATGGTTTGTTACATAGGTAAACTAGTATCACAGGGCTTTATTCTGCAGATTATTTCATCACCCAGGTTTTAAGCCTAGTGCTCAATTGTTATCTTTTATGCTCCTCTCTCTTCTCCCACCCTCCACTTTCAAGTAGACCCCAGTGTCTATTGTTTCCTTCTTTGTGTTCACAAATTCTCATCATTTACTTCCCACTTATAAGTGAGAACATGTGGTATTTGGTTTTCCAGCAATAGCTTGCTAAGGATAATAACGTCTAGCTCCATGCATTTTCCTGCAAAAGATATGATCATGTTCTAAATTCTGGCAAGACTGGTCAATTAAACAACAAAAAAGCGATGAAGATAAATAATCTTAATGCAAATAAGAAAATGTTATAAATAACTTTAATCATATTTAAATAAAATTGTATGTAAAATCTAGTTATCAGAGAAGTATGTGACCAAAACATTCAAAAAGAAATAGAAAATCTGAATGGTCCCATAGCCATTAAAAATGTTGGTTTATTAGCTAAAAGTCTTTCTTCCTTTCCTCAGTACTCACCTGAGTTTGGACAGATGCTAATTCCAGGGTTACATAAGCTTTTTCAAAAAACAGGGGAAAAAATACCAATTCTCTTTTTATTTTCTGAATCTTATACACTACAAACTTTTTAACAAAACTGGCAAGGACAGTAAGAATGAAATTTGGAAGCTAGCCTCACTTAGGACATAGCAAAAACAACCCCAAAACCTGGCAATGTATAAAACAGGTAACATGACCAAATTTGACTTATTCTAGAAATGCAAGGTTAAATTAATACTAGAAATTTGTCCAGAGTGTTTACACATTAATGAAATTATGTTACTACACATCACAGGTCTTTGCATTATTGATTTAGTATAGTCTTAGTTAAATCTGAGAATGCCAGGTGTCTAGAGAGCATGTTGAATACTGAAATTCAGTTTTGAGTGGAATACTGTGGACCACAGTAGATGGCACAATTATTTTTGATTAAAGGGAGTCAGATGGTCTCTCAGAGGTGGCAAAAGGTGACTTAGGTCTTGATGAGTAATATCTTTATCAGCATGTTGGAGGGAACAGTATTTCAAGTAGAAATGGTGGATGCTAAAGCATGGCTGTGGCATCTGGGAATGGTAAGTTATATATTTAGAGCATGGTAAGGTTATCTGGAAGTGGCAGATTACAGAGATTTGTGCCAAATTGTAAAAGGCCTTGTCTGTCTTGCTTCTTGCTAAGCAGTGGAATTTATCAGCCCACTGAGAGAAAGCCAGTTGAGATTTTTGAGTCTTCCATATATTTAGTTGTCATGTCTTTAAAAATAACATGTATGACTTGTTTGCATGCTTTTGCATGTATAACTTATTTGAAGTTAGGTGCTTCTACTGCTTGGCTTTTTGTTTAAAAAATATAGGGATCTTGATTTATGACTGGACCACTTAATATAATGTATTAATTTCCTCTGTGTTATATCCTAAACTTTAAAAACCACTCATGGTTAATCTCTTTCACCAAATTGTTACATAAGAACTTTCCAAAGAAATGGGTGACAAGGGCATTTTTAGCAGAATATGTGATAAAACATATTTTAATACATCTCTTTTTATTTTATTGGAATTTTTGAATGAGTTGTTTGCTTGTTTTTAAGAAAAGTAAAAAAAAGAAAAAAAAAAAAAGAAAAGTAATTGGACTGAACTTTCATTGATTCCCAGGTTTCTTTTTTTCCCTTTTTTCTTTTTTTGTTGCATTGGTAGATGCAAGGCAATAAATTTGTTATTCTAAATTTGTGAATCAGAGAATTTTAAACCTAAATTAAATTCATAAATGAGCTCACTTTTTTTCTTAATGGATTCCTTCTAAGTTCCAATAATACTTTGGATTTTCTTGATGATATAATTGTCTGATATTTCTTTTATTTAAGGTGTGACTGCACAGAAAAATTACAAAACAAATTTGACTTTTTGCGCTCACAGTTGAATGACATTTCGTCATTTAAGAATATCTACAGATATGCCTTTGATTTTGCAAGGGTAGGTGCAGTTTTTATGTTTTGTTGTTTTAATAGCTTTTCATCTTGACACCACACTTAGGAAAACTTTTTCACTTATATATTTTAGGATAAAGATCAGAGAAGCCTTGATATTGATACTGCTAAATCTATGTTAGCTCTTCTGCTTGGGAGGACATGGCCACTGTTTTCAGTATTTTACCAGTACCTGGAGGTATGTATGTTTTTTTGAATTTTGAAATTATTATTTTAAAACTTAGTCTGACTGAAAGTTATACTTTTAATTGAGGAACAAATAGATTTTTAATAGTATGCTTTGAAAAAACTCCTTGAGTAGAGAAAAAAATATTAAAATATGTACATATCAATTGTTATTTTAAGATAGAAGCTCATGTTTATAAATATATTTTGTACCTAAGATATTTTCAATACTACCCTTCCCTCCCATGAAAGAAACCTCCAAGAAATATATTGTAGCACAGACATTTGTCATGCAAAATTAGTTTTTCAGGGTTTTGCCAACTCAAAATGTGACTAAACAGTAAATCTTAAGTAGAGAGATGATTTGCAAGGAAGCAGCCCAAGAGAACATACTGGATGTAGGAAATGTTATATATCTTGATCTCATTGGTGGATTGGTGGTAACACAAGTATATACATATGTAAAAGTTAGTTTTATCTTTAAATTAGTACTCAGTGTTCTTACTATTCCTCAAAAATGAAAGAAAAGGACAAAATAGATGATATCAATTTGTAAATGCCCATGAGGAATCTCTTAGAAACACAAATAGTTTAAAAGAATAATAAATGTTCTAGGAAAATCCAAATCACAAAGTTATATAGTTTACTGAATTGAGTAATTTTGTTTTTAATACGAATATTTAAATCATTTTTTGCAGCAATCAAAGTATCGTGTTATGAACAAAGATCAGTGGTACAATGTGTTAGAATTCAGCAGAACAGTCCATGCTGATCTTAGTAACTATGATGAAGATGGTGCTTGTAAGTATAATATAATGTATTCCTGTGAAAATAAAATTTCCAAAATCTTAAATGAGAGTATGCATTTGTGTATTATTATCATAGAGGTTTTAAATCTTGTAATAGTAACTTATTATTTAATCGTGTGAGGGATGTGGAAGTAGAGAGAGAGTTTAGATTCAGCAGTATTATATAAAATCTATGCTGGTAAATGAAATGTTTTCAATTCCTCGATAACCAAACATTTTAGCTAGATTTAAATAATTTTTACGTTCAGAAGCTAAAATTCAGCTTTGTTTCTGGCTTTCCTGGCATTTCCCTATGGAAGAAAAGTATAGTCATGATTTTTTAGGTACGACAGCAAAACAATCAGTGACTCTAGAAAAAGCTTTAAAGTTATTATATGATATCATGCTACCCACTAACAGTATGGCATATCATGTCAGTATAACTTCTCTCTGAAAACTATAAATTGATTGTGAGTAAACTGATAGGGAAATATTTATAATCTTTCAGTCCCTCCAGTTAAAATATCTGTCCATACTCCATAAAACAGGATTTTGAAATAATAGTAAATAAATTAGATAAACCAAGTTAATTCTGTAGAACTATATGTTATTTTCCGTTTCCACCACCATTTTAGTTGGTTGCGTGTGTTTTCAGTGTGCAAAAGGGTTACATGGAAAGTACATTCCTATAAACTTCAACTGAAATTAAAGACTTTTTTTTTTTTGACACTGAAGAAATAAAATAGCAGAAGGGGTAACTTTCTCTCTTCCTTTATGTATTTTCCCCTCTCTCTACAAGATGGTATAAAATTTGGTATTATTTAATGTATGATTTTAAGGAAATAATACCTAGCAGCAGTAAGCTGGCAGCCCAAAGGCCGTATATGGCCCATAGATGGGTATATTTGTTTATTTCAAATCAATATTTAAAACTAGGAGATTTTGTATGAAAATAAAACTTCCAGATTTGTTTGAGAAATTAAAAAATTCGAAAAAACTGCACCTGTACTGCTTTATAGGAGTCAGAGGCTGGAGCCAAGTAGTAACTGTGTTGGTCTTGCTTTTCGGTTTGACAGTTCACAGTATGCTAAGACCTAGGCTGTTTTTCAGTTGCCAATTATTATTGTACTTGCGCTGCTGTTTTTTTTTTTTTACAATAGAGAAACATGTCTGTCAAAAGTAAGGGAAAAAGACCACCAGAGGATTATGTGTTTTAAGAAGAATAGAGCAAGCCTATTTCTTTGTGGCAATGATTTTTCCTACATTTAAACAGAATAAACACTGAACTCATTTAAACAGCCTTCCTGGCAGTTTAATGAGTTTGGACCTCTCCTGCAGTATAAAAATATATTTTTTAGAATAGTTCTTAACTCATTAGTCAGATTATTCATCAGGCACTTGCTTTGTGTTCAGCTTTGTACTACATCCTGTTACTGGAATAAAGTAAGTCTCTATTATGGTTCATCCCCCCCAATAATATACATTTCTTGGGGAAGCAAAATAGAAATATTACCTTAAACACTTTTGAGATTGTTTCATAATTAAATGCCAGAATGCCCTGGACACTTAGAAAAAGGGAGAGATTTGTATTGAGTCAGTTATTGGAGGGTTCATGAAACACCCTGAGAAGGAAGTTGCTATAGATACCATTATTCCTTGTGTCTTTAAGAGCAAAAAAGAAAAAGCCAATAAGATAGCATCATTAAATGGAATAAGGTGGGCAGAAGCAGAACCACCCAAAGAAGGGAAGGGTCAGGCCTCTGTCATTGCAGAGCTAATGGGGAGTTTGTTTTATAATTGGAAAGATGAGTTCACTGAATTCTGACAAAAATGCCTTCTTTATTTCTAGGGCCTGTTCTTCTTGATGAATTTGTTGAGTGGCAAAAAGTTCGTCAAACATCATAGCAAGAACTATTGTGAAGAAAATGCAAACCTTTTGATTCCCACGTGTATACAAGCTAATGTGATGAGGGGGAGCAAAATCCAACGGGTGCATTTTCATTCATATGAAAGACTTCTCATAGTACTTTTTTTTCCTTTTTTTAAAGGAGGTTTTTCTTGTTACATGTGATGGGCATTGAGCCACACCTCTTCTTAGACTGAATATTGAAGTTTTTGTTTTGAGTTATGTTTATAACATTTATTTCAGAACAATAAAGATTCAGATTTGTGACAAAGGCCTTAAAGTGAAGATGTCCCTTGAGTGTCAGAGTGGTATTTATTTTTGTAAATTTGAATTTTTGGATTTTTGAGGTTCCAATTTACCATGAATTTATAGAATTTTCAAGATTTTAAATAGTCTAATATTTGGCAACATAGTCTGCTGATGATATGGTTCATTATAGTCATCTCTACACAATTTGGAAGACTGTTGGCCTTGATTTCTGGGATAATGATTTGCTGATGTAGCTAATAAACATTTCTAGGTACTGGAAAAATGCTCCTTCTTTTAGTTTGGGTTTCTATAAAAGCTGCCAAAGTCTTATTCAGATGTCTTATCTCAGAGAGTTTAGAATTGGAAAGAGTATGTCCAGTTATTTTGTTTTCTTAAAAAACAAAATATTATTGTATTAAGCTGTATCATTGTTGTTAGTGGCATATTTATGATATTTTTAACTGTCATTATATAGGGAGTTTTGTTTAAAGCACTTTTTTTTTTTGCCTTAAGGGAACTTTAGCTCTGATGTGGATTTAGTTAAGATACCCATAGGAAAAGAAGATAATAGAGTATGGAATCATGAGAGAACTCTGGGTATAAGTGTGCACAATTCAACAGAGCCATTTACATTGGTAGCTTCACAATATTGCTAATTATCACAATTTTCTGCCTGTTGGCAATAAACTGTCTTGAGGAAAGGGCAGCCTTTCCTAATTCATATAAAAGGCACTTTTGTACTAGCAGCAGGCCTGTTTCTACATTCCTTTTCAAACATCCAGTATCCCAGTGATATGAAAACTTCCTTCATATCCATAACCCAGTCAGAACTTCAGTAACATTTCTAGTGTCACTGTATGAGTAGAGAGAAGTAGAGAGATTATTTTTCCATAATAAAAAAGTGTTTCTATTAGGATTTGAGGTAAAGATTGATTTTTCAATGATGAATTTGTTTAAAGAATGATTTCTCCATATTGATTACTTAAGGAGGAATAACATTTTAAAGTGTTTTATTGTTTGCTTTTTGGTTAATGAGCTGGGAAAAAAATGATTGCCAATGTTTTACTTGCCTTCTTAATAAGATTACTTTGTACAGTTTTGTAAACACCCATAATAGTGGGAGACAGTTTTCCTAAATGTCTTACAGAAAAGGGCAATACAGATTGTCCTTTTAAGTCTTAGAATCACTGAGTCATGAACTGAACATACTAGTGGTATTAGGATTTAATATTATGAAGGATGTTTTAATATCAAATTTATTGTAAGGAAAGCATTTACATTTGTAGACCTTTAAATTTATAATTTGACTCTTCAAGGCACATCTGAACTAAAGAATATTTCCATTTTTGTTAAATTCCAAAACATGTAAGCAAAGTCTTACAAATTCTCCATTTGTAACCTGAATTAATGTTAGTATCTTTTTCGTCTTCAGTATTTGAGTAAAACGGAACGCTTAAAGCTTATAGATGACTTTTTTTGAAAAAGTATGTATATGAAAGCACAGGCATCCTTGGTATACCCAGGGGATTGATGCCAGGACCCTCGTGTATACCCAAATCTGCACATACTCAAGTCCTACAGTCGTCCCTGTGGAACCTGCCTGTATGAAAAGTCAGTCCTCCATGTATGTGGGTTTCACATCCCAGGAATACTGTATTTTTGATCCGTGTTTGAAAAATCTGTGTATAAGCAGACCCACCCAGTTCAAACTCATGCCATTCAAGGGTCAACTGTATTTGCTTACTTATCCAAAGATACCTTTAAGACTTTTCAAGTCTGAAAATGAAATGTACTTTATTTTTTTCCTTCAAGTCAATCATCCTATCCTACCCTAGCCATACTTGCAGTCCGGTACCACTTTGTCCAGGTTTGCTTTACTCTATTGCTCCATCTAGTTCTCCTAACTTCTTACCCTGACTGATGAATTACTCTGCCTAGTTCATCAGTCAGGGTAATTAGAATTACTCTGCCTAATCCCTCAGTCAGAGTGTGGGCTGTGTCCCTGCTTGTCTTTCCTTTCTTAATTTTGAATAGCATTTAATTTACTGGGAAATTTGTGATCAAAATGTTAAGTGATATAAACAAAGAAGACAATATTAAGGACCCTGCAGTATAAAAAAGTCTTAACTGTTGTGGTTCTTTTTTTGACTAGTTAGCTTTAAGTGCCTTCCCAGGAATCCTGTTGTAGAATTTTCAGAACTACTTCCTTTGAACAGGATGAAATACTGTATGGTGCTTTATAACAAGAAGTTGGGTTTTTTCTTATAGAATATTATACAAACGTACCACTACCAGAAGAAAGTAGAGCCAAGTGTTGATTCTCAACTGTGGGAAAATGGACAGGCTGACCCCTCCCCGCCCCCCCACTCCTCGGGGCCAATAATTTTTATTAAGGTATGATATTAATACCTTTAGGAAATTGTCAGGGATTCAGGTGACAGTGTGTGTTGAAAATGGCGTATTGTGTGCTGGTCTGACTTCATTACCATGTTTGTCTTCTATTGTCTTAGAATTTCTTATTTAAATGCTGCTGATAAAATTCTTCATATAATACATTTTTGACAGTAGTAGCATTCTTATGTATAATGTATAGGTTTTGTTGGTTTTTACTCAGAAGTACTCCAGTGTTTCTTGAACCGCAATTCAAGAGCCTTCTTTGGGAATGTTAGATTGAGTAGTATTTCTGTTAAATACAAATGCCTTTTCATCTAGCAAACCAAAAATTTATCTTAACAATATTGAATGCCATCACTTGAGCTCGGGGTGGGAGTAAATTTTGAGATAACTCCAGATTTTTTAAGGCATACAAGATATGTGGAATAGCTCAGAATCAGAACACACACACATATATATATGTACACACATATGTACACACACTATAATGAAATATTTCACTCTGAAGTATTCAACAAAACGTTACATATTATATATATATACACACACACTATATATAACTAATGAAACATTTCACTGAAGTATTTCTTCAACAAAACATGTCCTGTCTGCCTACTTGCTAATGTGAAATTATGAAAGGATTTATTGAAATATATGTTCAGTTTAAGGAGAAATTGGTAAAAAATGCCAGTTGGTGTTCTTCTGCCCTCTTAAAAAAGTATACTTAAAACTTGGGATAATACTTCATCATCTGATAAAACTTTGTTCTGGCTTTCAAGGCTCCTACAGCTTAATGTTTTAAATGCCTAAGGCATTAAATAAATTAAGGGCATTTTAACAACAACAACAAAAAAACCTCAATGCCTGCCTTTGTTAAAGCACACACACACACCCAAAAGTCTTACTTGACTTATTCCTAAAGAAGAATTCTAACCCCTAAAGAGGAATTCTTCCTTCTTGAGGAAGTATCACTTTTTCAGTGATACTAGAAATCATCACAAGGAAACATTTTAAAGAAGGGATCATTTTAAGGAGAAAGAGAAATAGCAATTTAATTAACTCAATGTTAAGAGTATTAATGAAATTAACTATTAATGAAATCAAGAGTTAATGAAATTAACTGTTCCTCAATAGGAAAGGCTAGTCTGAATTAAGTATTCTGGATTATATCATTTTTTAATGAATATAGTTTTATTACTTTATGACTATTTGGTAAGAACTAGGTAAACAGATTAAGATTTGTTCTTTTTTGTTAATAAATGTATGATTAGTACAGTGGAAGGCCAAAAAGCAGTCTAACTTTTATGATAAAATTACAGACTGTGGAATAATGAATTTCTGCCCCAGACCTTGGATAAATTGTAATTAATTTAATTATAGAGATTTTTATAGTGAACTTTTACTTCACTGAAGCAAATCTTGAGATCTCTTAAAGCACAATTTATTTACCTTTTTACAAACAGCAGTCTTAAAACTGATCAATCGTACATTTGCTGTGTCCACCTTACAATCTTCTCCATTATATTAATAGAGATAGTCTTCTCTTTGCTCCTTTTCCTTTTCCCGTTGTTATTGGTGTGGCCATTTTCTTTTTAGGATCAGTGAGACATTTTGCTATGTATGCTATGTAATGTATTAGAACTTCTTACGATATGGCTCACTTTTACATGGTTTCTGATTTACCATATGTTAAATATTTCTTTAAAAACATCTAGTAACTCTATAGTAAGGTTAGACTTTAACATAATAGCAAACATTTTATTAAAAATGTCTTAACTTTCTCCCAAATTATATCATTTTGTAGAAGTTGTATCCTTCTGGGGTTTTTTTGTTTTTGTTTTTTTGTTTTTTTTTCCTGGCTTTCTGAGCTTTAAGGTGCCAATGAATTTTTTCCACAAATTTAATGGGTTTGGTTTAAAATTTTTTAATTGGTTTTTGGTTCTAAAAAGCTAATGAATACTTGAGGTGAATATATAGAGAGCCAGATAGTCCCAAAACTCTATGGGCTGTGTGAATATTAGCCATAATTAACTTTTTTCTTTTTTCTTTTTTTGGAGACAGGGTCTCACTCTGTCTTCCAGGATGGAGTGCAGTGGTGTGATCTCGGCTCACTGCAACCTCCACTTCCCAGGTTCAAGAGATTCTTGTGCCTCAGCCTCCCAAGTAGCTGAGATTACAGATGCCTGCCACCATGCCTAGCTTTTTTTTTTTTTTTTTTTTAAATAGAGACGGTTTCACCATGTTGGCCAGGCTGGTCTCAAACTCCTGACCTCAAGTGATCCTGCATGCGTAATCCCCAAAATGCTGGGATTACAGGTGCGAGCCACCACACCCAGCAAATTAACTTTTTCATGTAGAAAATAGATCACAGATAAAAGCTCCTCAAATATTTTGAAAGTCAAAAGAAAATTTGCTGTTGTTAATAATTGCCTTTGAACCATCAAAGAGGAAAAACTAAGACTATTTGAGCAACTTGTTGAGACTTTAACTTATCAAACTTAGCAGAATTAATTTTTGAGTATTAAGTGAAGTTAGTTTATATAGAGACTTCATCTTTTCTGTTCTATCATGCGAATGAAATAGCTTGGAGCAAGTTCATACACAGTTACTTTTATGTACAAATGTAGAAATCTTACCTATTTGAGA